GGGCTGCCCGGCTCCTGCTTGTAGGCGCGCGCCGCCTGGGCGTCCCCCGTCGCCGCTTCGTCAGCCGCGGGGGCCGAGTCTCCTGCCGGGCAAAGGCGCAGTCAGGGCGGCAAGCTCCGCGCAAGAGGCGGCGGGCGGCCGGGAGGGCGGCCGTGTCACGGTTAGCGGAGCAGTCCCAGGGCGGGGTAGCTTTTTATTCACCCACCGTGTCCCTGCACAGCGCCGCGCCTGGCGCACGGTAAACGCCCAGTAACTGGACGGATGGCTGACGAACGGGAGAGGAGGAACTGGGTGGGTAGATAAGTGAATACATGTGAGAGGGTGTAGACCTGGATGGATGGGTGGGCGGGCGGCTTGGTAGGTGGATGGCTGGGTAAGTGGGGGGATAAGCTGGGTGGGTGGATGAAACACCCATTTCCTTTCTCCAGGTTTTCAGACTGCTCTATGGAGTTCCAAGGAGATGAGCAACCTTTGTTTTTAAGTGTCACACTAGGACAAGTGTGATAAAAACAGGAGTTACTAACAAGTCGATTGCTCCCCGTGTGCCTGGCCCCGTGCTGAGCACTTCAGAGCGTCCTCACTCCGACCCCACGCGGCCCAGTGAGAGCGGGTGCAATGCTGTCGTCCTGTTTAGGGACACAGGAGGGCACTGCCTCAGGGCTGCCTTCCCAGCCTTGCTCCCTTCCCGACCTGCCCTCCCCAGAAAGTGTTCTGGAGCTTCCACCCCTGTCTGTCCTCTTCTGGAGGCCCACAGGCATCCTCTGTGCTCTGGGGGTCCTGATGGTGTTTATCAGGCCAGGGCCGTGTTTTGTCCTGAGACCGCAGGCTCCCAAGCTGGAAACCCGGGTCCCTCCTTGTCCCTGTGGGCGTCCATCCAGCTGCCTCCATGTGCGACTTCAGAGATGACCCCTCAGCTCCCCGCTCCTGGCCCTGGCAGGAGGTCAGTGACACCCTCCGTCCCCCCAGGTCTCCAGCCCCTGGCTCAACGCTGGCACCAGTCATCTTCCTGCCTCTGGTGGGGCCCCTGGGTTTTGTCTCCATAGTCTGTTCCCTACTTTTGACAAGGTTCAGCCTCATTTTCCCTTCCTCACCCTAACACATGTGCTCAGATGGGGCCAGCGCCTGCCCGCCCCCAGCTCGGGTACGTGTGGCGGGCCTGGCCAATGGGGACTGAGCACCACAGCCCCAGCCACAGTGACTAGATCCACCGGGTGGGGAGAAGCTCCACTCAGTAGGAGCCAACGGGACTTGCGAGACTGCAGGAGGCTGCGCCGAGCTGAGAACTTGGCACAGAGGCTCTGGGGTCAGATGGCCTTGGTGCCACCCTGGCCTGGCCGGCACCTCATCCTATGTCATCTCCCTGCACCTGGGTTTCTGCAGTGACAAAACGTGGCTGATAAAGCCGGGTATCTCCAGGGCTGCGGCAGGATTGCAGGGAGCTGGCAGAGCCATGCCTGCCTGTGCTCACGGCTGGTGCTCGTCACCAGCGCTTGCTGTCCTGTCCGACCCCCACCCATGTCTGATTCCGCTCCTGCCCCAGTGCCCAGCGCGGGCTGGGCACACAGCAGGGACGTCAGGGATGCTCACTGAACAAACAAATGATGGACGAGAGAGGATCCCCGCCTGGGCTGGGAGACAAGGGGCTTCTGATGCCGGGAGAGGTGTGGGGAGGGGGTGAGCTGCTCACCTAGGGGCGTCGTCTCACATTCTTCCTTTCCCACGCCGACCCTGGAGCCATCAGGGGTCGCATCCCGAGGTGCCCTCGTCGCTGGTCCCTGAGACAAGAGGAAGCACAGTCCCAGCTGAGGGGCCCAAGCCGCCGCCCCTCCCGCCTCGGTCTGGTCACTTGCTCTGGGGGAAGCCGGCCCCACAGGATGAGCCGGGAATGTTCCCTCCACTCAGCTTTTGGGAGAAGTTCGTACGGAGTCGGCGTCCTTCCTCCCTGGAAGGTCTGGTCGACCTCTGCACTGGGGACAGGTGAACTGTCACACTGCACTGTCATATCTGTGCCTGCCCACCTCCCCAACGGGTGGTGGGCTCTGGGGGACAGGGGCTGGCCTGGCTGGCTTCTGTGCCATCGCTGGCGCCGAGCCTTTCATAAAAAGCGGCTCTGTCATGACATGATTCGAGATCGTGCTCAGCGTGCTACGGTGCCGCGGGCGCTGACCTGCCGCCTGCTTCTGTGGTGGCCCCCGCTGGACCTCCAAGTCCAGGCCACAGCAAACGGCAGACAGTGTCCTGGGCACCACAGAAGTCACCCACTTAAAGCACAGTTCAGTGGGTTTTAGTGTATTCAATTGTGCAACCGTCAGCACAATCAAATGTAGAATATTTTTGTCACCTCCAAATAAAGCTGGCACCTGTGAGCAGTCACTCCCCAGTTCCCTGCCCCCGGCCCCTGGGAACCACTAATCTCCCACCCCTGTGGGTCTGCCTCCTCAGGGCATCGCATGTGAACAGAACCACGCAGCCAGGGGTCCTAGTGACTGGCTCCTTCCTCACGGTTCGGAGTCTCCCCACACTGCAGGGTGTGCCAGTGTTTCACTCCTGTGGCTAAGAGACACCCCGCTGGTGCACAGGCCACATGCCCTTATATGAGTGACACTGCCCTGCTACCCTCACGTAGTCCCGTGCACGAGGTTCGTGTGGATGTGTTGTTACTTCTCCCGCGTCCACCCTGCAGGGGCCCCCGCAGCAGTGGACGTCCTCAGGCCTGTGTTTGCCCGGGGACTGTGGGGGACCCACGGGGTGTGCCAGCCCAGGTGCAACTGGGCGGACATCACTCGGAGTCACTGGGCCCCACAGAGGCTGGGAGCTGTGTCCTCCCATCTGAGTGTGGGCTCCAGGTAAGACTGCTCCACCCAGCCCCCCAAACTGACCCCAGGGCCCCCAGACAGGTCTGTGGCTGGAGGCACTCAGGGAGCTAGCGGGCCTCGTGCCTGGCCACCGCCCGCACCTCGGCCCTCCTGCGTCTTGACCTCTTCCTGGGAAACGTTTTCTGAGCCATCACAGAGAGGGCCGACGGTCTGACACAGGTTTCCCATCCCTCCGGTCATTCGCTCAGCGTCCACTGAGGACGACAGTAAGAGGCCCCAGGAGCTGGACCCCTCTTCCCAGGAGGTGGGGGGTGTGAAACGGTGCAGCCTTGGTGGGAAACAGCCTGGCGGTTCCTGGGTTAAATGGGGAGCTCCCACTGTACCCGCGGTTCCTCTCCTGGCCCTGGTGACCCTCCACTCGCCGCCACCAACCATAACTGTGAGCAGAACAGCTTTCAGTGAGTCCTGAGTCCTTCCACCCAACCGTCAGACCAGGTGCTCCTGGGGACCCCGAACTTGTACCAAGTGCCAGAAGGTCCTGTGGGCCCTGCTCACACCTGTCCTAGAGCGTCCCCACTGCAGCCACACCCTGGGCTTCGGGCCATGGCACCTGCTGTCGGTCTGCTTAGGGCAGGGGCCGATCCCTCGGGCCGAGGCCCTCCCGCAGCCACCCCCGCTCACCCAGAGCTCCTCCAGCAGGACCACGGCCTCCTCCCCGCTCTGGGGCCGCCGGCTGCACACCCAGGCCTGGATGTCGGCGGGCAGGGCGCTCAGGAACTGCTCCAGCACCAGCAACTCCAGCATCTGCTCCTTGGTGTGCACCTCAGGCCGCAGCCAGTCCCGGCACAGGGCACGCAGCAGGCCCAGTGCCTCGCGCGGCCCGGGTGCGTCGCCCAGGTGGAAGTGGCGGAAGCGGTGCCACGGCGAGTCCAGGCGCAGGCCCTCGGAGGCCAGGCACTCCTGCTTCACGGGCTGCGGGGCCGGGGCCTCCATGGGGCTGGTGGGGCAGCAGTGCCTGCGGGGAGGGAAGCCCGGCCATGAGAGACCAGCTCTGTCATCCTGGGCCCAGCGTCTCCGCCGTGCAGGGGACAGGAGCGCAGGGACATGGGGTCTCGAGCCACAGCGCCTCACTCGGGAGCAGCAACGTCGCTGCTCTGTGCCTTGGTTTCCCCTAAGATGAAGAGCCGCTTGCCTTGTGCGGCCAAGGGACAGGCCCTCCAGCGAGGAGCCACACTCAGAGTCTATGCACAACAGGCGCTGGGGAAGGGGCGATCGTGACCCACCCGGGGACAAGGCGTTCACACCTCTGCTCTGCCCCTCCCGGGGTGACCCTGGGCCCTGCTGTCCTCCCTTTCCTCTGAACATCACTGTGAGGACTGAGCAGCAGAGCATGCCCAGGGGACTTGCCTGCAGCAGACTCTCAAGAGGCTGTGCGCTGTCACAGCACCACTGTGCCCGACCGTGTTCCAGCCCTCCAGCCCCGAGGCAGACACTTTAGGACGCTCAAAGCCCCCATCCGTTCTTTGCTACCCACTGTGGACAGACCCGTGACCCCCCCACCTCCAAGGTCATGTGTGAAGCTCTAACCCCGACCAGACTGTATTTGGAGATGGGCTCTTAGGAAGAAATGAAGATTAAATAAGGTCATTAAGGGTGGCAGCCTACTCCTACAGGGCTGCTGGCCTGGTAAGAAGAGGGGGTGCCCTCTCCTACGTGTGAGGACAGAGCAAGAAGGCAGCCGTCTGCAAGCCGGTACGGGGCCTCACCAGACACCGAATCCGCCCGCACACGATCCTGGCCTCCAGACCTCCGGAACTGTGGGAAAGAAACGTGGTATTGAAGCCGCCTGGTCTGGGGTATTCTGTTACGGCCACCCAACAGGCCAAGATGCTAATGGGCCCCCAACCACATCTTTTGTAAGAACACCCCCCCCCCGCTCTCCCCCAGGAAGCTGTGTGCCCTCCACTTCCTCTTCCCCTTCTCAGACGAGGCAATGGCTTCAGCTGTGAGGATGACACAAGAGCCCAGAGCAGGGGCTCTCAACCAGGGGTGGCGTTACTCCGGGGAGACACCTGGAAAGGTCTGGAGACATTTGATCGTTGGACAGGGGTTGGGGGCAGCAGTGCTGCTGGCTTCTGGATGGGGGGGGTGGGAATGCTGCTAAGGACCCTACAGTGTACGGGCAGCCCCACAGCAGAGAATGATCCAGCCCCAAATAAGCCTGGCCTGGAACCTTGGTCCCCGAGATAACCCTCCCTCCTGAGCACACGGTGGGGCTTTCCAGAGGCTGTGGCCACAGGCCGAAAGCAGAGGCAGATGTGAGAATCCAGCTGCTCAAGTCCAGACAGTGAGATGCCACACTTCCAACTTTTCATTTTGGAAAACATGGTTATTTTTCACTTAAAAGGTGTCAATTATGTTAGCACATGAAGAGCTGGCTACCACTGTTTTTAAATGCATCAACAATTTGACATTCCTCAGCCTTAATTTCTCATATGATAGCACAACCAGCAGACGTAACTCCTGTAAACCAAAGTGCTTTGGGGTAAACAAGGTCCTACTGTAGAGCACAGGGAACTATATATTCAATACCCTGTAATAGCCTATAATGGAAAAGAATACAAAAAGGAATATACATAGACATACATATATTATATATGTATAAAACTGAATCACTATGCTGTACACCAGAAATTAACACAACACTGCAAACCAACTATACGTCAATTAAAAAAAAAGTGCTTTGGGAGGGGGTCTTCAAAGATTGTTTTAAAGTATGAAGGGGTCCTGGGTTAAAAAACCTTTTGAGAAACACTGACCAGCAGCCTGTTTGTTTAAATAAAGTTTTATCGGCGCACAGCCGTGCCCATCCGCTAGGCATTGATTCTCGTCTCAGACTTAAGGCTGTTCCTACCTCAGAGCCTTTGTACCTGCTGCTCCCTCGCCCCCATCTTTGCTCAGCTGGCTCCTCACCTTTGAGACCTTGATGCCACTCTTCCCACCTCAGAGAGCTTCCCCAAATCACCCACACATCCTTCCCTGCAGTTACTATCACATCCCCCTTATTAATTTTATCTTGGCGTTTTAATAAGATTGGGTCTTATCACACACTGTCTTCTCTTACAAGAATTTAAGCTTCACGAGGGCAAGAGACCACATATAAGAGCCCAGCATGCTGGCTGACACTGAAAGAGAATTACTAAGATGACTGGCCCTGTGCGATTAGCATTTCTGCCCCCATTTCGCAGCTGGACAATGTAAAGGCATCTTGGCCCAAAGTCACCCAGCTGATAAGTGGCAGAGGCTTATGTCACACCTATGTCTGTCAGGCTCTAAAGCTGGTCCCGGCATCACCTCCCACTCACCCACCCATCCTAGGACTAGCCTGGGAGTGGCAGGGAAGCCTCCCCAGAGGATCAAGGCCAGAGCCAAGTCTCAAAAGATGCAGAGAAGCCTGCTCTGCTGCGAGAGTTCCCTCTAGGGTGGGAATGCAGTCTGACTGAGTGAGCGAGGCCCTGGGCATCAGGCCGAAGCACCTTGTGATCTCAGGGAGGAGCTCAGGTACCCACGTTCCCGGCCAGCCACAGTGAGCTCCTAGGGCAGGGCCGGTCCGACTCCTCTGGGTCCTGGGTCACCTAGCTCAGGGTCTGCCCCTGAGAAAGCATGTACTGTCACTCCATGCAGCCACTATGGAAAACAGTATGGAGGTTCCTCAAAAAATTAAAAACAGAACTACCATTTGATACAGCAATTCCACTTCTGGTTATTTACCCAAAGAAAATGAAAACACTAATTTGAAAAAATACACGCACCCCATATTCATAGCATTGTCTACAATAGCCAAGAAGTGGAAGCAGCGTCACTGATGAGTAAATGAAGATGTGATGTATATATACACAGACATACATATATACGGATGTACTCACATACATACAGTGGAATATTATTCAGTGTCCATTAATGGATAAATGGGTGAAAAAGATGTGATATATGTACACACACACACACACACACACACACACACAGTGGAATATTATTCAGCCATTAAAAAAAGAATGAAATCTTGCCATTTGTGAAGACATTGATGGTTCTCGAGGGCATTCTACTGAGTGAAATAAGTCAGAGAGAAAGACAGATACCATATGATGCCCCTTATAAGTGGTACGAAAAAAAATTAAACAAGCTCATAGATTCAGAGAACAGACTGGTGGTTGCCAGAGGCCAGGGGTGGGGGTTGGGCCAAATGGGTGAACGGAGTCAAAGGGCACAAAGTTCCAGTTACAAAATAAGCAAGTCATGGCGACATAACGTAAAACATGGTGACGACAGCTAATAATACCGTGTCGCATATTTGAAAGTTGGTAAGTGTAGACCTTAAACCACCTCATCACAAGAAAAAGTTCTGTAACTAGATGGTGATGGAGGCTAACTAGAATGATTGCGGTCATTCATTCTGCAAAATATATAAACACCAGATCACTAGCTGCACACTTGAAGCTAATGTTATACACCAACCGTGCCTCAATAAAGAAAATAATAATAAATGAAACAAAACACACACACACACACAAAAGGTCGCTCTGCTGGGAAAACCAAGCCCTATTGTCCAGGGAGGGGCCAGTGGTCTGGTGCTGCCACAGTGCCCCGTGCCACCTCCGGTAAAGCACCTGTAACATTCCTTTGTCTGTGTCCGTGTAGTACTGAACCCGGAATCTGTCGACTCCAGAGCCCACATCGGTTGCACCTAGCACCTCCTCTTGCTGGACTAACTTAATGGTTAAGAGACACGGTCCAGAGTTGCCTGCCTGGCTCCCACTTTCAACTCCGCCATCTATCCATGGTGTGACCTTGCACGTGTGACATGCCCTCTCTGGACTCACATTCCCCACCTGCAGTAACCCCGGCCCCACGGGGGTTGCGGGAAGCATGAATCGAAGAGACCATGCACAGAAGAAGCGTTCAGTGAAGACCGGCCTGGACAGCCCTGGGTTTCCGACCCTTGCACTAGTGACCTGTGGGGCGCGGTAATCCTGTGTCGTGGCAGCCGCCCTATGTAACGTACAATACTAGCAGCATCCCTGGTCTCTTTCCAGCAGATGCCAGCTCTATCTCCCCACTTGTGACAACCCAAAATGTCTCCAGTTAGTGCCACAAGTCCCCTGGGGGACACAGTCGCCCCCGGCGGAGAGCCACCCGTCCACTAGACAAATATTTACTCAGAGCACAAGGGCCCTGGAGCCAATCCCAGCTCTGCCACGTCCCAGCTATTTGTCCTTGGACAAGCTGCGGTACCTTCCACACACCGAATCTCCCTTTGCCGGCTGTAAAGCCGGGAGAAAAGTCCTACTAACCGAAGAGTCGCGCTCATAATTCAAGATACGACGAATACAAAGACGCTGAGAACAGCGCCCAACGGCGCTGAGCTAGCCCTCAGGCAGTCAGCGTGCACTGTGCTTGTGACTTTGGGAGGCGCGGGGGCTGCCTCTACGCACAAAACAAGCACGCGCATTAAACCCAAGCGTGAGCTGCAACAAGGGTTAAAACACGAAAGAAAACGGTGACTGGGGCTGAGGGGAGGGCAGCTTCGGACGGGAGTAAGAACACTCACATCCCTGAAGCACCGCACGCCCACGAATTTAACCCCTTCCAGCGGGCTAGGGACGGAGGGGGGCACTCTTCATCGGGAAAGAAAGGAACGGAACGGGGCAACTGGTCTCGTCCTCGGGAACCTCACAACTCCGTGAAAGTGCGACCCAACTCGCAAAGACACGCGCGAGACGAACCACCTGCACCCGCCCGCGGCAGGACCACGACCCTCCCCCGAGCCCCTACCCGCAAACCTCTCGCCCGGGGTCCGTCCGGCGCCCCAGCCTCCTCCGCAGGGCCCAGCCCACCCCGCGCCGGAATGCCCTCCCCCTCCCGCTTCCCGACCCTCCCCCCGCCCTCAGTTTCCAACTCTCTCCCGCGTCCTCCGCCCCCAGGACCCA